CCCCCTCTGACCCCCGGGGGGGCAGGGTGAGCCTCCAAAGGGTCCTAGGATGTGTTCCATAAGATGGACTTCTCCATAAGGCTCACCAAATTTTTAGGAGAAGAAAACATTATTTTTCTTGTTTTCTTCTCCTAAAAATTTGGCGTGTCTTATGGAGAGGTGTGTCTTATGGAGTAAAAAATACGGTAGTTTTCCTGATTTTAAGGTCCTTAGGAGAGAGTCTTCTTTTTGTCCCATCACCATTGAACTGACATTCAGTGAGGACACAAAATAAGGCTGCTTTTGAGCTCTGGAACTCATTTCTCAATGAGGCCAAGCTAGTTCTGTCTGCTCTCTGTCTGCCATCAGATACCAACAATTTTTTTAAGTATTTCCTCCAGTAGATTTTAAATGATTGGTATTATATATTCCTTTTTCATGGATATATTTTAAAATGATGAGTGTTTAATTTATGTTTAATAATAAATATAATAATTGTGTGATATCAAGTTAATTCTGACTTATGGCAACACTTTTCAGAGTTTTCCAGATAGAGAATGCTCAAAAGTGGCTGATTTTTCCCTTCTTCTGGGGGTGCCCTTGGACTGTGCAGGTTGCCTAAAATCAAGCTGGCTGGCTCTTTGGGAATACATAGTGAGGAACTGAACTTCCAAACCCTGGTTCCGCAGCCAGATAACTAACTCACTTTTTGTTTTGTTTTTTTATAATTTATATTACTACTGTTAGCTGTCTGGAGCACTATTTTTATTAGCAAGGCGAGGTGTAAATTTAATCAAATAAGAGGGCATGTATTCAGCATTTCAGTGTTTCACCACGGTTTCTTCCATGATATTTCTCAGAACACTTGCTGTGTTAATGGCAGGTTATTCTGAAAACAAACACACTAAAGAGACTTAATGGTTTGTTATTTGTTTGTAATGGAGCAAGTAGTCTGTCTGCGCTTTTATATTAATAAGTTGCTAAGATTTATACCCAGGTCACACATGCAATCTAAGAACCTATCTAAATGAGACCAGCTAGCAGTGACATGTTTGAGCTATCATTGAGACATTTTATAAAATACAGCGCCCTTGCCAGAGTGGGAAGAGAACTTTGGTGAGCTTGATGTCTGAAGAATAACAAATGTTTACAACAATCCTTTGCAGTAGACGGAGTGATGAGATAGCTTGAGCGCAAAAATAGCTATATTCACACACACAAGAGCAGACAAAGTGCTGCCATGTTTGAGCTATCATTGAGACATTTTATAAAATACAGCGCCCTTGCCAGAGTGGGAAGAGAACTTTGGTGAGCTTGATGTCTGAAGAATAACAAATGTTTACAACAATCCTTTGCAGTAGACGGAGTGATGAGATAGCTTGAGGGCAAAAATAGCTATATTCACACACACAAGAGCAGACAAGTTGCTGCATTGGAAAGTACAGTGGTGCCTCACATAGCGACGATAATCCGTGCAGCAAAAATCGCTGCAAAGCGATTTTGTCGCTATGCGATTTTAAAAAGCCCATAGGAATGCATTAAAACCCGTTTAATGCGTTCCTGTGGGCTTAAAACTCACCTTAAAGCGAAAATCCTCCATATGGCAGCCATTTTCGCTGCCCGGTAAGCGAGGAATCGGCGCGAAAAAAAAGCAGGCAGCCATTTTTTTTACCCGGCGGCCATTTTGGAACCGCGATCAGCTGTTAAAAAATCATCGCTTTGTGATGATTGGTAAGCGAAACAGGGTACTGATCATCGCAACGCAATTTTTCCCTATTTAAAACATCGCAATGCGATCGCTTTTGCGATCGCAAAATCTTCATCGCTACGCGATTTTGTCATTAAATGGGGTGCCAGTTAAGCGAGGCACCACTGTAGATGATTGAACTGCAGTAGTAGAGGCAGATCCAGTAAGACATGATGAAAAGTTTGGCTGGAGTAGGCAGAGACATGTGCACAAATACGAACAACGCACACACCTTGGAAGCTGCTGGCATTTTAAGGAGTTTCTCTTCATGCTCTGTAGAAATCAATGAACCTCAAATTGATGACTGCTGTGAGCCTTATTAGATGTGGTACATTGCATAACTTGGAGACTGTGGCTAGGGGAAGATGAGATATTTCTGCATTCAGTTGCATTATATAATTACAGCATCTTCACAAAGAGCTGGGATGATGATGATGAGAACATCTTGTTGTGGGCACTGTGTTGGAAGAGAAATTGTCTTTTTTCTGAATCATCTGATGGGGCTCTTCCATCAGGGCAAATTGTTTTTGCAGTAAAGAGCCAAATTAAATCCAGCATGTTATCTCATTCACTGCCTAATGGGGAACTCATCATTCTACCTTTCAATGATATGGAACCAATTGTTCTCACAAGTCAGAGGGGGGAGAGTTCAGAAAGAAACTGTTTGAAGGTAAACCCTCATTTGCATGTTCAGATGACATAGCTAAAGGCAGTCTTCTTTGGTACACATGTGACTGGAGAGACCACAGGGAAGCAACCAGCTCTTTCTTCTGAAGTGTAAATCTGGCTGCAGGACTTATTTCTAAATGATGCTTTTCAAAATAGCTGAATTTGATCTATGGTGTGATGTCTTTACAGCCTCAGGGGCCTCATCCATTATTGTTTGGCAGTCTGGGGGCTGCAAATGATGTCATGAACACACCTCTCTCATGCAGAGAGGAGGAGACTTAAACCCCCCTTCTGGGACTTCAACCCTTACCTGCTGAGATCTAGATATTGTTGAGCAGGGAAGAAGGGACAATGAAATATCTCCCAAAAATCTTCACTGGGAAAATAGTTATCTTGGAAGCCAAAGGAAAATGTTGCCCTCTTCCCCCTCCCCTAGCAGATCAGCTGATGAAATGGGCTGGGAGGAAGGTGTGTGATGTTCCTGTTCCTTTGGTACCAAGACAGGAAGTGGTCCAGAGTGATGTGGGGCTCTAGGTTCTGCACCCCTGTCATACCAGAAGGCAACGAAATGTCACAGGATACCAAACGGCTGTGCTTCTGTTGCTTCTCTGTTTGGGACCCCAGAAGCTTTGGCCTAAACAGAAAGTAAAATGTGGCTTTAAAAATTAGCATATAAGTGTGCTTCTTTACTTTGTGTATTACTTTTGATGTTTGTTTATTTCATTAGACAGTTTTAATATAGTTACTGGCAAATTTAATACTACTGCATGGCTTTGGGCTCTTTACTGTTTCCTAAGAAAAACAAGGAGATTGAACAGTGACTATACCAAGTGACTTTGCTATTACTCTCTTGTGGCCTCCAGTAAGAGAAATGCAGCTTGGTGCAAGATAGAGTAATTTGAACAGCAGCTGCTGTGAAGAAATATAGCATCAATACGCAGGCTTCCAAGAAAAAAAAAATTAAGGTTCTTCAGTCAGGCCTGAGAGAACTCCCGTCCATGGTTCGAAAGCATGCAAATGCGAGTAGATAAATAGGGACCACTTCGGTGGGAAGGTAACAGTGTTCCGTGTCTAAGTCGCACTGGCCATGTGACCACGGAAGATTGTCTTCGGACAAAACGCTGGCTCTATGGCTTGGAAACGGGGATGAGCACCGCCCCCTAGAGTCGAACACGATTGGACAAAAATTGTCAAGGGGAACCTTTACTTGCAACTTTTTTAGTCTAAGCATCTTGTTTTAATCTTGTTTTGTATTAAGCATTACTAATTGTGCTCTGGAGTGAAAAAGGACTCCCATTTTCTTAGTTTCATTGAATTAGTAGTGTGGAGTTTCCAGCATGACAGTCATTTCTGTCCTGGCAGATTTGAGTTGCCCAAACATGCAATTATTTCATCAGTCCAGGATCGAGGAGAAGCAGCTGTTTTTAAAGGATGCTCTTCACTCTCTCTGTCTCTCTCTTAGCCTACTTTTCGCAAACGAGCGCTGGGAATAAAAAAGCTGATTTTCCAAAGAAATTGTTTTTTTTTATAAACTGCCAATTCTCTAGATTTTTTTTTACAAGGTGTCAGAGCCCAGCTACAAAGCTGGAAGGCACTGTAACATTAACTAATGATTATTCCAGGCAGACACTTAGGTTCATCCAGCTGTGTTTTATGGAGATGAATAAATGGGCTCAAGCTGCCCCAGGGTTTTGCATTAGAGCCTTCCACACTGCTGTGGTCTCTGACCTGCCTGTGTTATGTAGCTTAGTTCCTTTTTCTCCAACTGATGGGTAGCTGTTAACCTACTGACTGTGTAACCAAAAGTTCTTTCAGAAAAGTATTTTGCAATTTCAAATACTGATATTCTGAAGTAGGTGGACGTTATTTAAGGTCCATGGAGGAAGATCACTGCCAGCCGTACAGTTTTAGTCCAGTTTTGTGTTCATGGCAATTATCAGAGGATCCAAATCTTCTTCTGTACATATGAATATGGATTAAAAAGGAGTGAGCAGTAATGGAGGAAGATCTAGGGAGTCATGCAGTGATAAACCAGCTAAGACAACCATAGATGAGACAAGTCTATCCTTAGGAGCCATTTTCTTTACTGACACAAGAACACTGCACTTTGTAGAACTGAGAGAGAAGCTTACATTATGTATAGCAATAAAGGACAATGGCAGGAATTCTGTTGCTCACTATATTAAGTTGTGCTAGACTAGGCCCATTAAATCAGTGGGGATTTGGTGAATCAACTCCATAAGTTCCATGGATTCAAATGGGCCTACTCTAGTTGTTACATATTGCACTAAAGTAAATGATGGATGAATGGAATGTTAAATTCACTACATTGTTGGAGCATTTAGCATGGTTCTTGGTAAGCCAAAATAAGGGGTGTGTTATTTCACCGAGCCTCAGAACAGCAGTAGTGATCCAGAACAGTTTGTGTGGCCCAGTGGCCCTGTGCTCTCCCCCTACATCTCAGAAAACTGTTGCAACAAAACCCAATATTTCATTGCCAGTCATTTCTGACAGTCTAAAGTCTAGGGTGAATTTCAGTGATCCTGGTCCAACCATAATATGAATGAAAAGAGTTCCATAGTTTTTCAGGCTTCTAACAGAAATTCTGTAATTTCCCTTTGATTTACAATGCTATACTTTACTTGGAGAACTAGAAATGGTAGCTCAGTAAGCAGGTGTTCACTGTTTGCCAACAGAAAGATGATGTGGAAAAAGCTTCACATCCTAAATATTTTGTTGGTTTCCTCTGCATATCTAGGTATCAAAAGCCACCGTCACTAGAACAGTATCTGATGCTGACCCAGATTGCTGCTCCTTGCATTCCTTGCTCTTTGCCTTTTAATGGTTGCCCATTTAGCTCTTGCCCACTGAAAAACAAGAGGCGTGTTTCAAGGGCAGATTTTTCTTTCTCTTGACACTGCAGGTACTGGAAGAGATGTGGAAGGGGGAAGGGAAAACACCAGCTCTGATTGTGAAAGAAGAGAAACTTGAAGCGATCCAGGATCAAAATGAGCTCGAGCGCATCTGTCAGGCTGTGATGGAAGGCCATCAGAAACAGGTGATATTGATAGCAACCTTGAGAAATTGGGAACAAGAGGGCCTGACACCTAAGGGTGGGCAGTGGAGATAAAAGATTTAAATGGCTGTCTTTCTTTCAGATTGTCGTAGGTGTTTGGTAACACTTTAGAAGAAATGTGGGGAGGGAGGGACATTGTGGGATGCAAAGGAGCTGCAGCAAAAGGTAATGGAGCTGAGACTTAAAAACTAAGTCTTCCTGGCTCCAGTAATGCTTATTTAGCTAACCTAAATGATCCTTACAGACTACACTAAAGATGATTATAGCAAAGGAGGATTTGCTTGTATAAGCAAAATATAAAATTCCCCAGTGTGATACTCCTGATCTTAGTTATATGTTTCTATTCAATTCGCAATTGTCCCCCAACCCCACTCTTCAGAGTATCCACTGAATGCTTTTGCATTTTCTCTTCTGCACAGAATGGGAGGGAAGGCAGTAACAAACTGCTTACACTGAATAAAATATTGGCCAGGTACTAAAGCTGCAAGGAAAATGCTAATATTTATCAAGAACAATGCTGTCCATACCCACAGCACTTCAGTGGAGGCTAACAGCTTTGCAGAGGGCTTTTGATAAAGAAAATGTGTGTGCATGAAATCTTTCTGACCTTCATCGTGCTAACTAATTTGTAGTGGCTGATGAAAGTGCCTCTTTTATTTCCCAGCTGGTACTGAAGCAGGAGCGCAGAGAGGCTGCGTTATAATTGATCAAGGATCATGAAATGATGATGTCTACTATCAGGACCTCTCTTCAATAATGACACAGATTGAAAGACTTTCAATTCTTTAATATTCTTGCTAGCCAGGCAAGACAAATCAAAGGTTTCTTTGATGCTGTTTTTCTGAATGGTGACTTTCTGTAGCTCCCATTCTATTTATGAATTAGCAGTGTTGAAGATTATCAATCGAAGTATGTTCTACAGTGCACTTCAGTATCATCAGTATACTCACACAAGGCCTGTTTGAGAACCAGAGACATAGTATCTATCTCACCTTTATGGTTAGAAATATTCTTACAGTGGCCACAGAATATTCTTACAGCTTTAATGTTGGGAGCCATGTGGCACAAAACGGCTGCCAACATTAAAGACATTGCCTGCTTGGGAATGTGAAGAATCTTTGCTGAAGATCACTTATGTTATGGACTATGGGAGCACGCAAGGAATATATTGTCATCAGTTCCACTGTCAGTGTCAAGTAGTACCTGTCGTAAATCTACAGCCACCTTCTTATGTGGGTTTGGCAGCCATGCTAGAAATTAAAGTGGGAAAGATGGCTTTTCCCCTTTAACAAGAAAGTATGTCTTGAGTGCTGGGGAAATGAGATTTCTGCTCAGCAGAATCAGTACCTAGAGTGAAGTTACATGGTTTCCGCAGCAACCAGAAAACAATTGCTTATAACTGCACAAAGAAATTATTTGAACAAGCTCCTTAGAGTTGGCTGGTCTCTTGGTAGAATGAGCATCTTGCTTTGCTAATAAGAGCTATACAGCTGAAAGAATAAATGGTACCTGAATACCAGTTAAATAGATCTGAAAAAAGTTCAGCTTTCCCCTCCCCACAACATGAATGCTAAAATGTTCAGCTTAGTGACAGGAGCCTACAGGTCCTACAGAAACTGCATTGGTATGGCTATCCTTTGAAGTACAGTAGTCTAGAGCAGAGGTCCCCAACCCACGGTCAGACCTCGCCCCCACATGCATTCCCCCCGCACAGCCTGTTTGCGCCTGCAAGCAAGCGTGCCCACATGAGTGCTGCGCTGCTCTTTGCACAGGCACACGAGCATGCACGGACCTTTATGAGCACCCCTGCTCCTTTGTGCGAGAGTGCGTGCACCCCTTCGCAAGAGAGCATGCAGGGGAGTGCCTTGCCTTCCCCAGCCGGTTCCCGGGGCTAAAAAGGTTGGGGACCACTGGTCTAGAGTGTTGTTAAATTTAGCATTAGCCTTTTTTATTACTATGTAAGAATTATTTCATCACAACAAATGAATGCCTGTTTGGCCTGAAATAAAAGATTACAAGTTGTGAATTGGTACAAAATTTCCAATGTCTTCTAGAGATGATTGTTTTGTGCAGCCTCTGGTTTCAGAGTTATATAATAGTTTTGTCTTTTGTTTTCAACAAAGGCCATTTCCATCACCATTTAGGGAAAAAGAAAAGTGAGCAATAGCGTATTGGCGGACACACTGGTGACCGACTAGCCCCATAAGAAGATACAGAAACACTAGGGGCAGGTTAGCTGGGCTTGTTGGGCTGTTGAAAAGTTACATCGTTGCTTTCCTACTTCTCTCATCTTTTCTACATCTTTGATTCATTTGATTTTTAATTCTTTAGCCCCTTGATTGACATCATTTCACCAGACACTTGAGTTTTCAGTGAGACCTTCCTGGCTGACATGGTCAATACAGTGGTGCCCTGCTGGATGATTACCCGGCTCTATGACGAATCCGCTTTACACTGACACTTTTGCGATCGCAAAATTATGTTTTAAATGGGTTTTTTTTGCTGTGCGATGATCGGTTCTCTGCTTCGGGAACCGATTTTTGCTATACGACGATCAGCAACAGCAGATCATCAGGTTTCAAAATGGCCACTGGCTGAAGAAAATGGCCCCCCGCTGTTTTCTAGGACAGATTCCTCACTTTACAGGCACCCAAAATGGCCACCATATGGAGGATCTTCGCAAGACGAGCGGGTATTCAGCCCATTGGAACTCATTGAATGGTTTTCAATGTGTTTCAATGTTTTTTTTTATTTCGTTTGATGACGTTTTCGCTCTACAGCGATTTCGCTGGAATGAATTAACGTTGTCAAGCGAGGCATCACTATTAATTTTTTTCAGTACTATCTTAAGTGTATCCTTTAGTTGCCACCCAATCGTGGACTTTCAACAAAGTCTCCATAGAAAATATGTTTTGGGATACATACATTCATTTCAGAGTTTCAGTTTCACAGTTGAAGGGAAGCAGCAGCAGCAAAGGGCCTGTTGCTCTATTTTACTGCTTGTAGGTCCCCCAAACAATTGGTTAGCCATTGGCAGAAAAAATATATATGCAGGACTAGGTGGTCCACTGCTCTGATTCAGAAGGGGGCAGTGGATTTTAAAATATATAGGCCACTAGCGACTTGATAAACCTCTTGTTTGTGCTGACCAGAAGTAGTTTGTATGATCAGAGATTTGAAACATGATTTCCTTACTTTGAATAAAGATCTCAAAATCCTAAAAACTCTGTTGGCTGGTAAGAGTATTAGTTCAGAAATGTAACTTTTTCTGAACTTAATTCTGAGTGTATTTTTTGTATGGCTACCTTTGTCTTAATGAGCTGCAAGTTTTGCAAGCCCCCTTGTCTTTCCCAAGACTTCCATGATTCAGGATGAGGGTAACTACATCGACAAATAATGTGGGATGTGTTCCAGAATTGGTCAGATTCTCATTATTAGAATTTGTCAGATTTGCATTATTTTAAATTGACCACATGATGTACACATCAATGCCAATCAGCCTGAAGTCTTCCCTCTCAATCTGAATGTTTCCCCTCCATGGCTGTGACTGTGTTTTTGGATTCAAATGCATTTGCTCTGATCCAGGCAGTGTGATGGCTTATGCTAATACAGAGGTGTTTGTGGGTGTTCTGTTTGAAGCCATTCTAGACAACAACAGCAACAACAGTAGGACTAAGGGGAAATTCCTCCCGAAACTTGGTACCTGGATCTATTCTTTTTCCTCTACTCTTCCTTCCTTCTCTTTTCTGACCTTTCCTTTCTCCTTTCCTTTCCTTTCCTTTCAGGTTTGCTGCCCTAACAAAAGGCAGCTAGGTGACCAAAAGAAGAAAATGTGTGAGGAATAATCAGAAAGAAGTTATCGGCCTTTTTTTCCAGCTTAAGACAGCTCCACTCTAACCATTTTTTCTGCAGATCTGATCAGCCAGAACAAAGCTACCTTAACAAGCTGCAAACAAAGCCAAGTACCAATTTCCTCCCCTTTTTCTTCTGACTCAGCTGAAGCAAATTAACTTAGGGAAACCCAGATTCCTGGAGTGACTTCACAGCAAATTTTCCTGCTATGTAGTTGCACCCTAAGTTGTAGATTTCCTTTTTTTCCTATTCTCTCCTGGGAGTTGTAACTTGCCTTTCGGTAAGTTGGACCTACAATAGAATAATATCATTGGCAACTTCTCATATGAATATTCAGAGTTCCTAACAGCCATGCCTTATTGAGAGGATTCTACAAACTGTTGCATGCTTTGGGTGGATTCCACAGGTTTTTGCATGCCAATCCACACTCCTTCTCCCACTCTGCCCCAGTTTTCCTGTTGGCAACGAGGCACTGTGTTCAGTATTCCAAGGGAGTGATCATGAGGAACCAAACCTGAATGTGTGTGTTTTTAAATTTATCTAACTGTCTTACTATTATTGAAATGTACTATAAAACAACTAGTGGTGAACAGTTTCCTTCAGTGATAAAATGACTGTATGCTAACAGAAAGTTGTATGTCTCTTCTTAGAGCAGACCCTGCTACAGTAGGATGATTATAATGATCCTTCTTCACCTTATTAGTGATTAAGACAGAGAATTCTGGCATTCTAATTTCACAATGCAAGCTTTCTTCATTAAGCTTTTGTTTAGCAAAAAGAATTAATTCTGGGTGGTTTGCCATTTTCTGCTGCAGAGCAACACCTTCGCGAATACATTCAACACTGTAAAGGTTGGCAGATGTGGAATTTTTGGGTTAGAGGTGGATCACGTGCAGGCTTCCAAGTGTTGTTGTGGGTGGTTTGCCATTTTCTGCTGCAGAGCAACACCTTCGCGAAAACATTCAACACTATAAAGGTTGGCAGATGTGGAATTTTTGGGTTAGAGGTGGGTCATGTGCAGGCTTCCAAGTGTTGTTGGTCTACACTTCAGCATAACCAGTGCTGAAGAATGCTAAATGTTGTAATGCAACAACATCTGGAGTGCCACATTTTGCCCAGTCTTGCTTTAAATCCAGGCAATCTGTTTGCTCTAAAACAAGATCCAGTTCCCTTAATATTGGAGGGTACAAAGCATGGATAAAAACATTCTAAGGTACTGTCTTGAAATAAGTTTGTAAAATGCAGTTAAAATGTCATGCTGAAACTAACAGGCTGGTTAGTGGTTGGTGTGGTGGAAATGGAAAATGTCTTACTGTGACATTCCCAGCTTTTGTGGGTCCACTGAACAACTCAGTCCAAGCCTACCTTGAGATTCTGGGTCAGTATCCTAGTTTCAAAACCAAATTTGAACTCTGGAGCAAACTACTTTAGTCCATGCTGGAGAGGCGTGGATTCTGTGTGGCAGCTGCATCTCTTGCATTGAAAGAGCAAGGAGTAAAAAGCAGTGAGAGCTTTACCCTGTAAAATAAGTAGCATCCTCTGCAAGAATCTAGTAAATAGTCTGATGTCACTCTGCTGAAACTCAAGTTTTTTGTTCTGATTTTTCCCGCAGTGAAAACAGGAATGTAGCAACAAGCTTGTTCCGTGTGTTCTTGCTTTTCTGTATGGAGATACTGATCAAAATTTAACACCTTCCCCACTTTTATTCTGTACTTTCTTTCTCAAGGTGGAGACAATAAAGAAAGGAAATGCAAACGTGCTGAATAAGCTCATTGGAGAGGTTCAAAGAGCAACAAGAGGACGGTCGGATCCTGTAGCAGTGAAAAAAATACTAGAAAAACTGCTATCATAGAAGCCTGGAGTGAAAATTCAGTATTCTTGACATTCTCAAGAGCATCGGAGTGGTAATTGCTTGACCCTCTGATGCCTTTAGTAATCAAGTCATTGTACAGCCTCAGTCAATGTGTGCTTGCATGTCAGATGATTGCAGCTGCTTTCTACAGTTTCCCAAGTGTTGGTCAAACCAGAAAATAAGTCATGCCGGGAAGGAACTACAGTTGAAGAATGCCATTTTCAGTTTGAAACCTGCTGATTTTGAACATGTCTGATAAACAAACAAATTGATCCATTATATATTTTCAAACAATTATTAAATGCAACCTTCTAAAGACATTTTCTTGGATATGGTGAATGCAGACTATCCTGTTTCTAAAATACTTTTATAATGCACATCCAAACGTGCATTTCATCAGATCTTCAGAAACGTATTTTGTTACATGAGGAAGTGAATCCTTCAGGCTGCTCTTAAGAAAAAAGTGGCAACAGCTGATCAATCCCCCAAGCTTCTTATATTGTGAATTTCATCAAGATTTGACATACCTGAGAATCTTCTGGTTTTTGTTGATTAACACATTGTTGCAAAATGAAAGTGGTAAGAAAGGAGTTCTGAAGGTGTATTATTTTCACAATCTGATTTAAACTGTTCATGTAATTAAGACATTGGCATGGCAATCCTAACATTGTAGGTAGAGAGTTCCCATATTGGAGGCTCCTAACAAACCAGAGTACCAAAAGAAGAGGGAGGAGAATTGAGATTTTCTTTTCTTTTCCTTCTTCTGTTGGGGACATGCGAGGCCCGTGGGTTACATCATTTTTGTGTTCTCAGATTTAGCGGCAGCTCCTTAGAAGAGATGAGTGAGATGAGATCTTTTCCTTGTACAATAGAGATCTCTACACACCTTCAGACAAGGTGATTAGGAAAAAAATCCTATCATGCCTCAACTTCTCTCCCTGCTTTAGAGAAGACCCAAAATATCTTATAGGTCATAGGACTTGAAACTATAATCAGTACCCACTTATTTGAAAGTAATTTGTATTGAACTAAACAGGGCAGAAGTGGGAGATGTGTTGTGAGCTTGTGGTTTTCATCAACCTCATCAGTATAGTGAAAGGTAAAAGAGGGGCACCAGTTCCCATTCCTGCCATCGGACTTACAATACAGGGGGTTGGGGGCCCATCCTCAAATGAAAAGGTCTACTGTTGTTGTGGCTCCGCCATCACTGCTTCAAAAGTAACAGGAACTAAAAAGGGCATTACCATCCTCAGACATGTTCCAAAATGCAGGAAATGCACTTAGCATTTGAAGGGGGAGGAAAAAAATTAAAAGGAAACATCAGTGCTTGGGGGTGGGGTGGAGGAAGCCTCCTTTCTCCAACCTGAGTCCAATGAAGCCTAAGAAGTGATGAGTTCTCCAGCACAGAATCCCCCTGACCCATCTTCATATAATCGCTCTGCAAATGCATTGTTCCATTAGGCAACATTTTGCAGCAGCCCAGTCCTTCCTTCACATTTATGGTCCATGATGGAGAAGTTTTCCCATTTTGCTTTAATGATGCTATGCCATCTTGGCTTAAAGAGAAAACACCTTTACATTTCCTTATAGCTGGGGGAACAACTGCAGTCAGTTTGCTTCATTACCTTGCCACTGGATTGTTATGCACCTTGTGGTGGTATAGAAATACTCCTTTTTTGTTTGTGTCAGGTAGGGATGGATGTAACAGGCACAAGAATGATGGGGAAAGACATAGGTCCCATGTTGTCCCCTCCTGCTTGAGCTGATTTTTTTCTCTCAGCTGGTAACCATGGATGGGTGGGTTTTTTTTCGATTCAGCCAGAAATGAACGAGGAAGGAGTCTAATTGAGGTTCAATGTGACTGTGAAATCTTAATACTGATGGAAAAAATACATTTTATTCAATTTTCATAATTCTCTATATTCTAGAGAGAAAGATAACAGTGAGACCTGTGGTATTAAGCAGCTGAGTTGTCCGTCATCTGGCATTTAAAGCCAACTCTCCCCAAAAGTCTTCTTACCCCAGGCTTCAGCTGCTACAGAGATGAAAGATTTTGCTTTTGGAATGAAGTCAGGATGTGCCTCTCAAGCAGTTTTCAGGAACGTTATATTCCACCAATATCGAAGAAAAGCAGCGCTATGGCATTTCAAGACACAAACTGTTTTTCAACATTTAATGAAATTTGTACATAAAAGTACCTTAACATTTTTGTAAGCAATAAACAATACAGTATTCAACACTGACTTGTTTTGCTTATCCGGTGTTTTCTCATGTTTTCAGTAATATTTAGTGTTGGCTATCTTGGACATTTTTGACTCTCCTCTTCAAAAAGTGAATCATGCATTGACATTAACACTTGAGCAAAGTATGCATTTACAGATGCATATTATTATAAATAATTAGCAGGAAATGTCTATGGTTTAAAGACTGTAGGTATTTATCAGAGGAGGTGGCCCTTTTTCCTCTTACACTGTGGTTGTTGTTTTGTTCCAGTCTGACTCTGTGAGGACATCAACTTAAGTGAGCTCACAAACATGAAAAGTTACATCCAGGGGACCCTAAAAATAGCCTGCTTCCAAAAAGAACAATCACCCTCACCTTGTTCTTAAGCTTTAACCTTGCTCTCAGCTAATGCTATTTTAGGTATTGGCCAGGATCCAGTGGTGTTCTTCTGATGGATCCTGCTCCTTTCCCCAGAATTGGCAATTTTCTTCCTTCTTCTGCAACTACCCTATGTGCCCTAAAGAACTCTCAAGAGATCAAAAACCTTTGGAATGGATATTGGGCACCATGGAAGCCCACAGTAGCAGGGGATGGGCATTGGATACAGCAGTATTGCATTGGATCCTGCCCAATTAAGCGGAAATTCTTCCGGAGAAAATGGAAAGTTTTTCTCTCTTTAACAGGATGTCCAGGCAATGTCCAATGGTTCCCCATTGCACCATCTCTTCTTTCAACTCTAGTCAACCACTGCCTTGAGAAACAAGCATCAGTTGTATTAGTGACAATCAAACAGATACACACACATAGTAAAAAAACAAGTAATTAGAATATAAATCTTTAAGACACTTCTGCAAAAAGTTATAAGCTTTACGTTCTAAATCTCACTTAATTGGGTTTCGCTAACAATTAGCATATTGTACTATGTATCCACTATTTTGCAGCATTTACTTGGCTTGTTTGAACACAAGGGCGAAGAAACTTTCACTCTCCAGATGTTGTGGAGGCCTGTCCCAGATTTCTCAGGCAGCATGGCAAATGCTAACTGAAGATGGGATTTGTAGTTCAAGACGTGTGGAGAAATAAAGGTTTCCCAGAGCCAGACTTGTTCTAACAAACCACTTATGGAAGCGTGAGGAACCAAAAAGTGTTCATCAACTGTAATGCTGTAGTTAGAACAAAACTGTGGCAGATGCTATTAAATTACAGATGAAGTCTTCAGTTTCTTTCATTTTTTAAAGAATGTTAAGAAACTGGATACCTTTTTGTTCTATAGAAAATCAAACTGTCACTTTGGATATTTCATATTGTTTCCAGCAAGGCTACATCAGGCTTTCTACATTTTTGTCTGTAGTAGCAAGCGTTGATTCAGGTACACTGTACGTGTTTGATAGGTTATGCTGTGACACATCCATGCGCATTATTTCCGTGGGGTAAGCACAGAGCTTATTTCAGGCCTAAGTGAACCGAGTGGAAGCACATTCCCATCAATCTGCTACAGGGTAAAGTACAGCTGAAGTGGGACTATAATGTACAGTATTATAATTAATAACATAAATTGTATTTACTAAACAGAACAATGAATAAGCCAGCATACACTTTGAGCAAATGCTAACCAAGTTTATGAACAGAAACTGAAGTTGCTGTTAAGGCTTTGTGAGAAGAGTTTTTAAAAGAAAGAAAATAAAGGTTGCTGGGGAAGTTCTTTTGCAATTTGCAGGGAAATCTTGTGTTACACTGGGCACCTGGTTTCCAGTTGTGTTTCTAACTTCTGTAGAAATTACAGACCACATTACATGAATCCTCTGACTTTGATGCCATTATTAATACAATGTAGACCAGAGCTAGAGAAAATAACAGCTTGTTGCAGTTGCTCAAACCAGTGTACATGTGGATATGAAAGCAACCACAGGAATGGGGGACTATGCATAAATCACATGGAGGTGGGCATCTGGCAAGGATCATCAAATGCACTTCAGTCACAAAGCAACTCCACTCTGAGCTGAAATACGATTCACGGTAGGCTCTGTGTGTGTGTATTAGAGCACCTATCACCTTTCCCTGTGTAAAACAGGATATCGCACAAAACATGCAAGCTAACCTCTCTGGAAAGATTAATCAAGGTCTTTGAGTGGCTCTGTTTTCCATAGATACAGATTTGTATTCTCTTCTGTTTTAGGAAAGCTGCTTTTAGAAAACTGGTGTGAAAACTGAGCAAACATCAATCACATTTTGCTACTTGCTCCTCTCCAACTAGACTTGATTATTATCATGATTATTCCAGCTTTGGAAATAGTAACACTAAACCATGTTGTACTGTTCCACATTCAGGTTCTTCACTCAATAAATAATTGTCCTGCCTGAACTACATGTGCCGTTATTTTGCCCTGAATTATCACTTGTAACAATCTTTTAATTTCTCACTAAATAGGTAAAATAACCCAGCATTCTGTTTTTTTATATATATTATGATTCAGAAGCCTGCACTGCAGGGTCAGAAGACCAAGCAGTCGTAAGATTGAATCCACGCGATGGAGTGAGCGCCCGTTGCTTGTCCCAGCTCCCGCCAACCTAGCGGTTCGAAAGCATGCAAATGCGAGTAGATAAATAGGTACCATCTCGGTGGGAAGGTAAACAGCGTTCCATGTCTAAATCACACTGGCCATGTGACCACGGAAAGATTGTCTTCGGACAAACGCTGGCTCTATGGCTTGAAGAGCGGGATGAGCGCCGCCCCCTAGAGTCGGACACGACTGGACAAAAATTGTCAAGGGGAACCTTTACCTTTACCTATCTTTATTCATCTACTTTAGTAAATTGTCAAACTGCTGGTCTTCTGACCCTGCAGCTCAGAGGCTTCTGCGGTTTAACCCACAGCGCCACCATGTCCCAGCTCCTGCCAACCTAGCAGTTCTAAAGCATGGAAATGCGAGTAGATAAATAGGTACCACCTTGGTGGGAATGTAACAGTGTTCCATGTCTAGTTGCGGTGGCTACGTGACCACGAAAACTGTCTTTGGACAAATGCTGGCTCTATGGCTTGGAGACGGGGATGAGCACCACGCCCTAGAGTCGGACACGACTAGACTAAATGTCAAGGGGAACCTTTACCTTTTACCTTTACTTCAGTATTTCTTAACTGGACATCCTCTCAATCCAGAAAATTCTTAGCAACCTGCTATAACTATACATTTCAAATACTTCTAAAATTTTTATACTTATTTACTGTATGGTATGGAATCATTTTTAAAGTCCATGTTTCTATACGATACAGTAGAACTGAGAATACATATTGTTACACAATGCACATTCTTAAAGCTGCTTTTGAAGTTTTGTTGCATATTACTTCATCTTAAGCAAGCTGCTCCATGCCATCTCTCTTCTTATTTTTATTGTGTAGCAATCCTCCCCAGTATTTATGCATCCAAATCCTAATGCATTACATTTGTCAGCACACTCCACACTTTCATTTTCAAGCTTTAATTGCATTTCTCAGATTACTTGGTTATCACGATAGTGGCTTTCTTCATATTCAGTTTCAACCCTTATAGCCCTAAACAACTTGGGTCCAAGCTATAGCAAGGACTGTGTCTCCCATTATGACCCTGCCTGAACGTTAAGATCATCAGGGGAGGCCTCTCTCTCAGTCCCACTGTCTTCACAGGTGTGTTTGGTGGGAACACCGTAGAGAGCCTTCTCTGTTGCAGCTCCCAGACTTTGGAACTCCCTCCCACAGGAAACTAAACTGGCTCCATTTTGCTGTCCTTCTGCAAGCAGATGAAGACCTTTAGCTTCAGACAGGCTTTCCCTTAGTGATTGGCTATCTGAGAAGGGTTTTAAATGGAGTGTTATGCCTTCCTGCTTTGAATCTGGGTGTTGATTTTGTTTACCATTTTTTGGGTAGTATTTGATTATTTTGAAATATTTGTATACTTACTGTCTTAACCTTTTAAATGTTGTCTTTTAATGATGTAAGCCGCCTTGGGTCTTTTTAAAGGAGAAAAGCAGGGTAAAAATATTTTAAATAAATAAAAATAAAAACAGACTATCTTCATTGGCTATGAGCATATTATACATCATTTTTTTCTAAAACTTAAATTTGGCTAAGGGACCAAGGTGACATTAGTAAATGATCAGCTTTTGGAATTCACAGAATACTAGTTGACATCCAGTTGCTTAGCATAGTGAATCACACTAGAGTAAGCCAACTGAATCAGTGTTGATTTGGTGGGTCAATTCCACATGTTCCATTGATTCAAATGGGCTCATTCTAATTTACTTTAAGGTAGTAAGATGAAACTAGAGTATTCCCACACCAAATCTCCACTGGTTCAATAGGCCTACTTTAGTCCTGCTTACTACACTAAGCAAGAGAATTGCAGATATTATTTTATTATTGGTTGCATTAGATTGCTTGGTAAATCAGAACACTGCAGAGATAACCTTGAATGCTAGTGGTTTATTCCTTGGAGAACTTCCGATGTCTTAAATCAGTGGTTCTTAACCTTTTTGAAAGAAATGCCATTGAGCCATTGAGGAAATTATCATCATCCCCCTCCGCGCGCCCCCTTGAACCATTGAGGAAATTATCATCATCCCGCGGCGCACCGCCACTTCAGGGAGATGGGCGATGATAGCTTCCTCAATGGTACTGGTGTGGCAGTGGCGACACATCCACTGCCAGTACTAGCTGCTCTGGATCCAGCGGTGCGGGGAGGGGGACGATAAAAACTTCAATGGTGGTGGCACAGCAGCTCCATCACCCCCCCATCACCCCTTCTGTTCCTTCACCCCCACATCAACCCTTTTTTTTCATCGCTCCCCTAAAAAAATGAAATCGCCCCCTGGGGGGCGATATCGCCCATGTTAAGAACCACTGTTTTAAATCCTTCCCCACCCCACCCCCATAAACTGAATCAGTTATGTGTAGAACAAAGGCTGATTTCACAGATTCAGATGGTACTGCTTTATAATTATTCTAAACATCTATACAAACTGAGGGGAGATGGTATCATGAAAACATTAAAGGCATCCCGGTCTAGATTTACCATTTCATCAGCTGCACAGGTTCTGTTACTATCTAAAATCCCAAGTCACTACAATGATGTATGCTCTTCAATCAGTTAGTGTAATGTGTTTGCTAAAAGTCTGTCCTTGAAAGGTAGCATAAAAGGTACAGCTAGTGCAACATGTTGTGGTTCACCTTGAAAAATACAGAGGTGGGCTGTAAGCTTCAGTACAGTAGTAATTATCTTTAAAGCCTGGCACTAACATGTCTCAGCGTGGTATAGGTCAGCCTTAATTCTTGCTGATAAGACTAAGCCCTACACTGCATTCCTTCATTGTAAAATGGAAGTTTCCAGCTGTGAAGAAAGAGCTTATAGAACACTGGTTTTGACATAACCATGCAAAGTACTGATGACATCCCAGAACAGTAGCTCCCAACATTGGGTCCCCAAATGTTCTTGAACTACAATTCCCAGAAACTCTGGCAAGCACAGCTAGTGGTCAAGGCTTCTGTGAGTTTTAGTCCAAAAACATCTGGGGACCCAACGGTTGGGGGACCAGTTTTAGAACAAGGGTGGGTAAAATGAGTGTGCCCCCAGATGTTGGACTGCAGCTCCTGTCATCGCTTACCACTGTCTGTGTTTCCTATTACTGGCAAGAGTTGTGGTTTAATATCTGGAGGGCCATACATTCCTTTATCTGTATTCCATAAGGACTGGCAAATTCTTGCATTCTGTGTGGCCTCTGTTACTTTGTTTTTTAAAAGGAAGCAAGTGTCAGGAGGTTATAGAATTTCTTACACTTGAAATCTCTACATGGCTTCCTGGTCAGAAAGGCCTATTCAAAGGCAAAAGCCTAAAACAGGATAGTGTATGCTACCATACTTGACCGGCTGCCTAGTACTCACTACAAGGGTAAAAGAGGTTACCTACCACTAACTCTGGTTCTTTGAGTAGCCCTCTGTGAATTCACACTAATGGGTTAGGCTCGGTCTACTTCCCCGTAGAACCTGGTAGCCCAGGCCTACCAGGGGAGGGCTTCCCCCAGTAGGCACGGTCTACTCCCTAGGCCCTGGGAAAGCTTGCATCGGTGTGTGGGGGGGACCTCCGGAGGCCTTCCCTGCCACCATGGGAGGCTTCTCAGAGGTCCCCCACCGCCAACAATAGTGCCTCTGAAGCACTATTGGCGGTGGTGGGGACCTCCGAGAGGCCTCAGATGGCAGCGGGGAAGGCCTCCAGAGGTCCCCCGCTGCTGCCGCTGGGAGCTGTACCGCAGTGGGCGATCCCGGTGCTCGGACTCCTGGACTTCCCGTCACCACCACCGCTCGGCTCCCAGCAGCAGCCACAGCGGGGGAAGTCCAGGAGTCCAAGCATGGCCGGGATTGCCCGGCGCAGCTTGGAGCAGCGGCAGCGGGGGAAGTCAAGGAGTCCGAGAATGGCGGGGATCGCCCGGCGCAGCGTGGCTCACAGCAGCAGCGGGGGACATCCGGATGCCTTCCATGGCTTCTCCGCCGCCATGGGAGGCATCTCAGAGGTTCCCCCCACAGCCAATCATGCTTCAGAGGTATGATCGGCTGTGGGGGGGACCTCCAAGAATGCCTCCCATGGTGGCGAGAAGCCCTGGAAAGCATCCGGAGGCAGATGGGTGGTCTACGGACTGGAAGGGGGAGGCAGGGAAGGCGCCAAATTTGAATTCAAATTTGACACTTTCCCCGCCTCCCTCTTCTGGTCTGTAGGCCGATTTTCTGGCCACAAGTCGAAGTGAAACTGTGCAGCCAGAGAACTATGGATGTCAAAAAGTTCATACGTGGAGCTGTCTGTAAGTCAAGACTCCACTGTACTCAGGCAAGATGTGTGTGTCTCTAGGTGCTAGATTGCAGCTCCTATCACCCCCTTACCACTGTAGTGGTTCTGCAGAGGGAAGTCAAACCCAGCTCCAACATTTGTACCGTTTATACAATACGTTCTGTGTGGAAGTCTGATAGCATTTCACTCCTCCTTCCCACCTCTTTTTAGCAATGGGCTTCCTTACATTCTGCATCCTTAGCAGGAATGTAAGTTAAAAGAAGTCAAAATTTGCCTTAAAAATTGTAAAGCCAGCTATTGGTTTGAATCCAAACTGATAAAGACTATGCTTGGAGACAGACTGAAGTTGGACATTAGCCTTCTGGCCCATTCCGGATAAAGTGCAGATAAATGTCTGTTCAGTATTCAGCCACTAATAAAAGCAAAGCATAATACAGGCCTTTATTTTATTTATTTATAACCCCCTTCTTCCTCTAGACAGGATATAATGTGTGGTAATATGGCTGCAGGCTAGAGCTACTGAATCCTGTGGGGAAACGTGTTTTTCATGAAATTCAGTCCAATTATCAATACTGTGTACTCTCACCGTGATCAGATCATTCTGTGGCAGTGAGTTCATAAGGAAGAAATATGGGAAGCAGTATTTCCATTTGTTGATCTATCTCACAAATTTATCACAAAGAGAACAAAATAAAAATCTGAATGTACCTTACACTCTCAAATTTATAGCACAGTCATCCATTCTTGGCACTAGCACATATACAGGTCCTGTTACAGAGGAAGCAATGTTATAGACTCAAAATGCAATAGGAAAAGAAAAGGGGGACTGTAATCAATCAAAGCTTCCTCACAGGAACATCTTACAGAAGGAAGGTCAAACCATCTGTAACAAGAATTGTGTCGCCTTTCAATCCCCAGCTACAGCCAACAGCTAAGGAGCTGGGAACACAATGTCATTTGAAGGACCCTGCCAGTTCTCCATCTCTATTTCAGAATATCATCAATACTATGGAGATATCACACCTAGAAAACAATTGTGCTTTGTAATTGCAACTTTCCCCCATTTTAGAGCAACCGTTTCCTGTTCTAGAGTTTTTAATACAATGGATTATAGGGACTTTCATTCCCTTGCAGATGGCATTTCCTGGGCTAAAAGTTCTTTTTATTTAGAGGCATGTCACTGACCTCAAATCCAAATATTTCAATCAAAGGGGTTGATAGCTGTGCTCATTAACATAGACACTACCTGGGACTGTGAGTATCCATATTCAGCATTCCTTGCATCTACCTCAAGAAATATATATAGAAAATGTATCTGGGAGGCTTGTGTTACTTTGAAATGGACTTGGCTGTGTGGGCAAGACTTAGTGCTACAGAACATTCTATACAGTGTTCATTTCTATGACAAGGGTGCCAGTTGGAAGCCTTTAATTAACTCTTGAACCAGTTTTTAAAATGGACAGTCAACTCCAGAGGCAAAGCTGTAGCAAAAAAGGAATTTCAAAGCTTTCCTGGACAGCACAGAGATTAAGTTCTCAATAACCTGGCTTTTGCAGTGCAAAATTACTACAACTGATGAGTTGTGATGGGAAGTATTACCATTGACATTTAGATATTAGCCTTTAGATGCCAACAGAGATGATATTACTGCCTACCAGGCTCCTTTGCTGTGGCACTTTTGCTCATCATGAACAAAGCTTCAGAACACCTACAAATGATGCTTCACTTAGTATCAATAAAACCACCGCTTTCTACAGTTATAGTTACCAGTTATTTTGAGGTCACACAATTTGTGTAAATATGTAAATTGGGGTCCTTATGGGGAGAAATGTATCTTCCATCAAATGAAAAGACTTCTGTATAAAAATTAAGGCATTTTTCTTAGTTACATGCAATTTTGGGCATCTTACAATTACTATTTTGAAACTGTACTCTACAAGCAATGTAGGTTTTTTGTGTTTTTAGAAGTTGCTTGTCACATAGCCTGAACCAATGAGGCAAGATTCAGATGCCTCCACTGGACTATTGACTCAGATGTATTAGACAGGAGACCATGGAAGATACACTAAGTAACACTAAAAGAAATGCAGAAATTCACAGGTAAATCAAGTCAATAGACACTAAAAGATCCAATCATTTGAAGAGTTGATGGGTTCATGTCAGCCTGTATATATCAAACCAGTAGTAGGTTGGTACTGCAGCAATAAAAGGCTTTATTTTAGCTGACTTTGTTAGGAAAAGTTGTTAACCACAATTGCTGAAGTAGTATTTCAGGACCAGCTTGCTTTTTAAATGCCTTTTGGGCTAGTACCCATCACTGAATTATCCCAAATGGCTCAGTTATGCAAAGCAATCCAAAGCCACATTAACCAAGATGCAATTTTCACTTTCCCTGAAATGGCATTTGCGTAGGAATAATTACAACGCTACAGCTTGAATTAGTGGTGTAATCACAGCTCGGGTAATTACATCGGGACACAGAAGAGATGGAGTTCACAGGAGCTTTTGAAAAGTTTGGGTGCTTTTGAAATACGAAACACAAACCAGAACAGCAACAAACATCTTGTATTTTTCATTCACAGAGGTAAAGAACAGTCCACTTGCCAACATCGTGTCTTTGCAGCTTTTACTTTTCAGTATATGTACTGGGGGTGGGGGATGGAAAAAGGTACTGCCAGGACTCTAAAGACCCCTTTTAGGGACTTGCTTCTAACTCTGATCCATGCTTTTAACACCTCATTATTAAAGTTAAAATCAGAAAGACAGTCTTCCTCTCTTCTTTCAGCTGTTAATAGTAGCCTTCATAGTTAAAACAATATAAAACCACTGAAGGCACTCTGGCAAAATAGGTTATAAAATCAAGTTGCCCTCAAACATGTACGTTTCGTTGATTCAATGAGCCTGCTCTAGTTGTGACTTAGTACTGGATTGGACAGTGTTAAGGAAAAAATGTCCTCACAACTGTAAGTTGCTTTTAGAATGGAAAATCAGCAAATTCACCAGAAGTGTACAAATACATAAAAACAGGTAGGTTTGTTTTGTGCGTGTATGTGTGTCATGGAGGAAACAGGGAAATCTGTGACTGTAGAGAGGTTCTACACACTGCAGCAGATACAGGGAACTTGATCAGACAAACAAATTACATGTATTACAGAAATCATCTTCAAGCATATTTAAAGTGATGCAATTTACAGTCATACCTCCATTAAAAAGCCCTGGGTAGACAAATAAAAAATCTTATCTACCAACTTCAGATAAGAGCAGGATAATGTGACTTCTGTTGACCTCCATTTCTGAAACTGAGTACAATTAGCACACAGATGTATAATCAGCCAGATTTTTTTTCGTGGATTAGATGCCAGGACTAAAATTATGAGGTCACTGCATTCACTGTCCAAGGAACTGAAGCAGGGTGTGAAGAAATCAATAGGCTAAAGAAAAGGACTGGCAGGTCCTTACTTAGGTAAGAGCTTTCACTATACAGAGTAAGATGAAACCTATAGGAAGATGCAGACTTCTTCCCCTTTGTTTTCTATGACTAGCAGAGACCAGGTCAGGGAAAAATCAATGGATTAATATTTTCCTGCCAACAGTGCATTTCTCAAAGAATCAAGTGACATTCTTCTGGCAAGCACCTGGAAGTCCTCCAAGATTCAGGTGCCGTGTTGTATCATGGAAGACACAAACTCTTCCTCCTGCTATTAATACATCACTGTGAAATTTACAAACAGGCACAAAACCAATTGCTTTCGAGCCCTGTCTAAACATTCTCTTTCCATTGATTTTGGAGCAATTTCTCCTATCTACCTCCTGTAAAAGAAAATAAAGGCTTCCAAGTACTGAGCCACTAGTCGCATAAAGCCTACTTGAACATCAGAGGAACCATTACTCTTACTAGCTCGAGCTGAAATGCAGCTGTAATGTACCAATTCATCATGTTTGGACCCATTCTAATGAGTTTCATTATTCACAATAGAAAACGTTCTTGAGCAATTGAACACCAAACGCAACAGGTTTCAGGGTTTATATCTCAGGTAGCTTCTTCTCTACTACTAGTATGCAATACATTTCTGCCATCTCTCCAAAGTGCAATATTAGGACAAGTCAACATAAATAAATACCCAGAGTTTATAGGTATCACAAAGCTTTTCTTTGAACTAAAAACAAAAACAAAACCAGCTTACAGAAGCAGGCTATTTTCTCCATTTTACGAAACTATGACTTGCAAAAAAGTAACAGCAAGTTAATCTTTTAACACTACTAAAACATTTCTTAAATGTTTATCTTCAGTTTGTCAATAAAAATGTACAAATGTGTACTACAAAAAAATACAGCTTGCATAGAAACATTTTACCATGTGCAAATCTTACTAAAATAAGGCTTGAGGGCTTAGGTAACAATCTAGTCTTTTCAAAGAGTGCTGAGAAATGGCAGGGAATTGTTCCACACTCTTTGTACTCAGCATTTATTTACTCATTCCATCTAAACTACAAAAGGAGTGAACAACTGACAGTGTCAGACCTGTCCACAGCATAAGGCAATATGGTATGCACCTGCTTTCTCCAGGTAATGGGGTTATATATATGTTGTGTCCATTTGGAATCACAACTCTAGCCTCTAATAAAGAATTTAGATGGAAATATCTATCCCACCCACCCCATACATAAAAAGTAATTTACATAAAAGGCTTAGTGGACTTTTCATGCTGGTCTTGGAAGGGAGGGAGGGGAGAGTCCAACATCTGGAGAGCTGCAAATTTTCCACTGTAGTAGTGTGTAGTTGCTTACACAGTTGTGACACCTTTCCCAAAGTGTCTACTGCAACATTTTAAGAGGGAAATTGAAATAAGTAAAATGAGGAATGAAAGAAAAGTAAAATAAAAGCTGGTTTTGTCCATGCATCACATATATACGTTGCACAGTTGGAAATAAGGCCCAATGTAAGAATGTAACAATTTCCCCCAAATCAAGTATTACCAGGAATATAAAGTAGTATTCTCTTTATAAGTAGCTCTGTGTTTAAAACGAAAATTTAACAGTCTTTTTTTAAAAAACAACAACTGAACTTAAAACTAATGAATATCCTCAAAATCGCCAAATACTTTGTAACATAGAATGGAATGTTCCTGTGCAAGAGCTGCCAGCTCTTTAAGAAATTCCGGAAAGAGGGCCGCTGCCAGTATAGCGTTCTGGACGTGCAGGGGAACATTGGGAAGAGTGCTTCCTTTCTTTGCCTTACTTCCCAAAAAAGGCTGCAGGATAACTTGAGATGCTTCTGAAAGGTTTCTACCTTTCCCCGCTGCACTGTTGTGCTGTATACTCTCTGAAACAAGAAAAGACAAAAGGGGGGGAGATCAATTTTGCACTGATTAATTCTAGACTTTTACCTAGTGTAATGGAGTGGATAGAGTGACTCAGGAGGCTCGGGTTCGAATCCCCATTCAAGGCATCAAAACTCATTGGGGGTGTGGAACTGGTAAAATCACTCCCTAAATATCTCACTTATCCTGAAAGCCATCAGGCTGCTGTATGTAAGTTCTGACTTGCCAGCACATAATACAACATAATTCTAGACAATTACAGGAAGGTGACATACATGCTACTCCAATATTCTACCAATATTTTACAAAGCAAGGTTCTCTTATATTTTTTTGGTATCAAGGCAACTTAGAATCATTATTACACCCATTTTTACAGTACTTTCAGCCGTTAATGTTTCTTCCTTTCATCTTCACAATCATCCTAGAAAGATGCAGTATGTCATTCTTATTTTCACTTTTACCCATGAAGAACGAAAGCTACAAGTGCTTAACTGACCTGTGGCTACTGAGACAGGACCTAACAGAAGAGAGACCTAAATGCTGGACCTCAAATTCTTGCTTTAAAAGCGTCAGCAAGAAAGAAGGATCAACTGTATGCAGTCCTATTACCTTAACTGGGGAAAATCTTTCGAGTCTCTAAGAAGTATGTTTGCATATGCAACTGTTATTCTACATGGCATTTATCCTTACCTAATAAGAATCTTTAAAGTTTTAACATAAATCCTTCAGGATTTAAGAACCAATTTATTGCCTTTTTTTCCTAATTTACATGTAAAAATCTTGTTTTTATTTCACCACTTATGGCGAAAAGTGTTCATTTTATTGCTAAATGTGAATCTACGCATCCCGCAAATAACCTTGCACACAATTCAAATACTTTTGTATGTATTATTACCGCAGGCCATTTGTACCATATATTCCCTAATTGACATAATGATATGTGTTGATAGACAACTGGCCGCAGGCATTGCAATTTGATTGCTGGCACTGTGAGCATGTCTGAGAGCCAAAGCTACAGCAACCCAGACATTTGTTTATTCTGTGAGCATTAGTCAAGAGACCTCAACTGCTGCTACAACATGGGGGAAAGCAGCATAGGGTGACTCTGTAGCCTTGAACACTATCATCAAAATATTCTCCATGTGAAGGATCTTGGCAGATGATCAGAGCTAAAAATGGCATGGGAACGAAAAAAGAACCTGATGAAGAAACAGAAATTATATTTTAAAGGGTTTCTTAAAAACACTGGGAATAGCACTGACTGAATGTTGGACTCATTCACAGAGCCCAAGTGTCTTGGAAACTGATGAACCAATGTTAAGAATATGATTGGCACAGATCTCATGGAAGGCCCTTGAGGGACACGTAAAACAGTGGTCAGGATGGAAATGTCAGAACCATAAAACTAATGCCATCACCAAGAAAGTTTTAATGTTTGCCCATTGCTCAAAGAAAGCTGTTTTCAAAGCTGGTCAGTGTTTATGTTATGAGCCAAGAGTCAGAAGACCAAAGTACATGCGTCTGGCATGAACCTAGTCTTTAAAAATTGGTCCACAGCTTGGAAAACTACTTTTGAACTATAACATCCAGAAATATCGAACTGGATTGAAGCACTGCATGGGAGTTGCAGTCAGTCAGTCAAAATGTTATTGCTTATGGCCATAGGCCTTTTCAATGTGTAATGTCTGATATAAAAAGAAAATCCAGGTTTTAAAAGCATACATTTTAGAACTACATGTTTAAAATGTTCCTTTCTTTGAGCAGCTCCAACTAAATTACAGACCATTAAATTAGATAGCATTATGGTCCTTGAGAAAACCAGATCTCAGCTCCTTGGCTGCCAATGCAAATAATGCTATAGCATATGTAATGAGCGGCTGATTGTCAATAAGCAATCTTATACTATTTCCTTGGGTGAGCAATTAGGGAATAACTGATAAGTAACAAAAAATCTTTTTCTGGGATCCTGATAGAGGGGGCAGAACAATAAGTAGTGGATTATGTCTTCTATCTGGTTGCAGAAGAATATACATTTGAGTTCTGTACCTGGAATTCTTTTTTATCTCCCTTCGAGATATGCAGATGGCACCTGCTGAAATCTAAGTTCAGTGAAGGTTCTGCGAAGCTGTGGGAGAGACAGTGCCTCAAAACAGTGTGGCCTTTTTTGACTGATCTGAAGTTGGGGACACCAGAGAACTGGGACCCCAAAATTGTGACTCTGCCTTGAGAAGCACCAAAATCAAAGATCCAGTTCCTCAACATATTAGCATTGAGACAGAGAAACTTTTCTATAGTAAAACCTTTAGCTTATCATGGCATTGCTTTGCTGATCCCTCAGTCAGTAAATGCTCCTGCCTTGGTCAATGATTGGTCCTCCAGACCATTTAGTCTAAGCTAAAACTTATGATAGATTAAGGCAGTTCTGGCATTGACTGAAGGAAGACCCAGCTCTGCTCAAAAGTGAGTAGGAAGGATTTTAGGGGGGAGCCCCAATACCTGTCTCATTAATTTGTTCTGCATGATTTCCAATTCGTGACTGATACAGCTGTTGCATCACGGCAATACGATGCAGATATGAATTGACATACTGTACAATGTATTCTATTGCAAGAGATATAGGTTAATTGGCATAAGGTTGCATTTTAGCACCATTTATTTTCATTTTTTATGTAAATGACCTGATTTGTGGAACGGCTTTCCCTTCTTTTTTCTGCCCAACAGTCAAAATTCGCAAGATCTCAATACTACTCTATGATGACAACTTGGTACTGTTATCCTTGAACAAAGGTAAAGGTAAAGGATAATTTTTTTTGTCCAGTCGTGTCCGACTCTAGGGGGCGGTGCTCATCCCCGTTTCCAAGCCATAGAGCCAGCGTTTTTGTCCGAAGACAATCTTCCATGGTCACATGGCCAGTGCGACTTAGACACAGAACGCCGTTACCTTCCCACCGAGATGGTCCCTAAAATCGGTCTCAAAAGAATGCTAACCAATTTTGGGCAGCTCTGTAAAGTCAGAACAATGAACAATTAACTATTCCAAAACCAAGATCATGTTTTTTGACAAGAGTCCCCCAAAGGATAATTGGTCATTAGATAGTCATGCAGATGCATTCATTTAAGTATCCAGGCCTACATTTTAGTGAAAAAAGTGTCCTGGGAGCAATACTAAATGCCACTATTATATCAAGTGCCAGACAGAACAATCAACAACTAAACAGGTGTTTTTTTTAAATGCTAGAGGAGGACAGTTAGTAAATCCTGTCCTTAAGGTATTTGTCACAAAAATTTTGGCTCAAATGCTCTACAGGGCAGAAATATGGGAAGAGGGAGACAAACCCAAATTCGAGCCAGAGTCCCAGAACCTAACTTTCCAAGCTCTGTACTGACTTCCATACTCAAAACCCATACAACCACTAACATGCTTCAAACAGTAAGGTTTTCTGAAGTAAAATGTTCTGAATAAATATCCAAAATCTATAATCTCTGGTAAACATCCTAAGTTATTGTATGTACCTTTTTTACTATGTGTTTCACTTAATGCATTAAAAATATTAAGAAGGAAAGAAAAAAAGAAAGGAAGGAAGAAACACGGGGTACAGTAGGCTCTAACACCTTCACTGTTTCTTACAACACTGAAAGCATCAAATTAAATCAAACAGAAAGACAAGGAACTTACTATTAAAAACAGAAAACAAGAGTGATTTCAGTATGCTTTCTACTGCTACACAATTAGTCACTATGGTTACTGTTCTCATCAGCTTCTGCACATTCCCCATCACCACTGAACACAATTTCTGATGAAAACTCATCCACAACAGCTATAGATACACAATTTGCTGATATTGTAATTCTGGCAAGATGAGAACAAGATTTTCTGAGTGTAGGAATTTAACCTGAAATGAGAATACAAATCACCTACAGGCCAAATAATGTCTGTGCAGTGTTTTTCTGTGAAAGATTCTTTCTCAGCACCTATCTGAAGAGAACAGCCAAATCACTCCTAGCTCCTTTTAAGATGATCCAGAAATGCAGATATATAGTGCCTCCATAGACAGTCTCATTCAGCTTGGGCTGCTGAGAAACAACCTGTCCCTGCTATCAATATGTTTAAAAGCTGCTGTATCATGCTGCAGTAATCACACATTGTGTAAAACAGGACTTTCACTTGTTTATCCTCAACCATAATTATCCTGACACCAGT